ATTAATATCCTCAAAGTTTTGCTTCCCACCTTCAAATGTTTTAGAGGACCCAAGTTTCAGAAAATGCTGAGCACTTTCTGCTTTTCTTTTCCCTTTTGAGTAAGAATCTCACACTTCAGATGCCCGAAAATACCACTTCAGACAATGAAACTCAGTCTTCAAATATCTGTCATATAAACAAGGTATACAAGCCTCTGAAGATGGGACATAGTTGTTCTGAATTAAGTAGACAGGCCCTTGATAAATAGCCACAGTTGTTTACAAGTCAGTTTCCACTATGAATCCTGCTTAGCTTTTACAAAATAAAGCTAGATCTGCAAAGCAAAAACTGCTTTATTCTAGGAACAGAAGCATACATAAATAGTATGTACTGGTTCTATTCCAAATCATTCATTCCCCAACACCTAATTTCATCATTTTCTTCATTCATGCTGTGTGAGTTGTGCACATCAGCGAACATGAATCCTCATACCTCAAACATGGAACTACATCCTTTGCTTCACTCAGGATTACTGCAGCTGCAAAGAAGAAAAGGCCTCAAGAGAAAACAGCATTAGTAGAAAACCAAGTATAAACCCAGCCAGACTCCAGAATATGGTTAGTGTTATACTCATTTTACTCAGACATCAAGTCAAATTCAGACTACATTCAATACTTTCCAGTTTGCCAGTCAGTTCCAATTACAAGGCACAGCTGTTTAGTACACTTTATAGAGTCATTTGAAGGCTCTATATTTAATCTGAGTAATTCATAGTATTTGCTAAGAGCATGTGGTATTACTTTCAATTATGAACATTGTCTTCTCAGAATGTAAAGTAACTAGTACATACTTGGCTAGCTCTTCTGCTTGCGCAAATTGATGCAGCTCCATTGACTTCAAATGGAGCAATTCCAATTTATGTGAGTAGACAGTGTGGGCTACAGCATAGTTACAATAGTTCTCTTTTCTGAGGTACAAACCCATCAGCATCCATGGCAGTGAGCACAGAGTTGCACGCTGTGGAAAGGCTTAGAGACCCTAAACTAATCCTCCATTTCAGAAAGCTATTCTTGCTCTCCAAAGTGTAACCATGGAGTTGTATACATATATACGCATACATTTGTGTGTTATGTATATGTACACATGTATGTATGTAACATGATACATATGTTTTATGTAAGTATGTGTTTAGACATATTCCTATTGCACTAATTCCTAGAAGGGGAATGCAGAGCTCTTTCGGCTGATTATCCCATAGCAAGGATAGGAAAATAAAAGGGGCTGCACAGCCCAGCCTCTGAACTCATGGTTGACAAGGTTAGGGAGAGAAAAATGCTTTCTGTGCAATGTAAGAAAGAAGAGGGTGTGGGCCTGTAGTCATACCCCAAGATACATCCTTCTCCCTCCCATGTTCTTTAGATACGTAATAGGTAATAATAGAATAATATAATAACAATAAATATGTAATGAAGAAATACCCAGAAAAATGTGAGGGGTTCACTTTTTTTGAAAAAAATTGTTGGAAATTTTTTTGCTTTTTTACTTTCGAAAGTCAGGAACTTCCTAATTCGTACAAATGTTCAAATCTTGAAGATTTTTTTTTTCTTGTACCAACAGTTAAAGAGTTGAGAGAAACATGCTAGAAAATTATGATATCCAGAGAATGCTAGCCAGTTATAACAAATACATTGCTCCTATTTTTCTGAAAAGCCATGCCAACTGGAATGTTCACTGCTAGAGCATCAGGTTCAGTGTGCAGCCGGTAAGAATTCTGCTTCTCATTTTACCTCTTCTGTACTTTCACCACAGATTTTTTGTCCAGTGAGTGCAGTACACTGTCCTTAATAGCAGCCATTACCTGGTGCTGAGATGATGGTGGAGGAAACTTTGATCAACTCCAAATATAGTGAATCAAAGATACAGATTTTTTAATGACTCCAAGTGAATCATGAAAAACATCAAGATGAAACTTTCCTGCAGGCAGGTCACTTTCAGATTCTGTCTCTTAGTGTGACTCAGTTGAAATACTGTCTCATAGGTGAACTATAATATAGAGGAAAGTGAGGTTGCCTTTGACTTTTGCCAAAAGGTGACATCTAACTATTCTATTTTACAATATGAGAGGAAAAAACCTGAGTATATATGCATAACGAGTGTTCCATACACTCGTTACAATTTTCTACTTCTGTTTGGTAACTTTTGTTTGCTGTGCTCTTGAAATATGCATTACTACAGATTGAGTTATGGCAACTGAAGGTTGCGTGGTTCTTGATTGCAGTTCACTTCTTTCCTGTACTTTTTATTGTCTGTGTATCACTTGAAAAACAAATAATCAGTCACCTTCTAGAGGCTACATGACCTGCTAGATGATATTGCCTGTGTAATAACCTGCCCAACCAGGTGCACTGAGCTGCTCTGTCTCATATATTTTTTTCTGAAATCATCCTACTGTAAACACGGAACTTTATCTGACACAAGAAAATAAACAGAGCTAAACAAAAAGAAAAGAACTGCCTGTTTCCTGGAGGAGACGATATTTTCTTACATTCTGTATTGCCTGTTTAGAAAGCTATGTATCTTTAACTCAACATGCAGTGAGATAATTATCTGCAGCAGTCTGTTTCAACGAGGGTGTGTCATCCTAGTGTCAAAAGAGCCTAAACGGCCCTTTTATCACCATCTGCTGTCCGGTTGGGGTACTGCAGGGCTGGGCAGCCTGCCTTCTTCCACAGCAGCCAGCCGCAAAACTGACCAACTGACTGCTGGACTTACCTTTAAACTGTGGCTTTGCATTCCCTATATAAAGCTCATAAAGTTTAAGTAAGAGGTAGATTAAAATATAATTCTGAGATAAAGACTACAAAGTATCTCAGTGAATCGGCATCTCATGAAGATAAGTAGATTTGGGGTATAAGGTTGTTTCCAGGCTTATTTTGGCTCCTTTGGCACCATGTTGTAAACGTTACAGTTGTTTGCCTAGGGAAGGTTGGTATATGGAGATGGAAATTCTGGTGGTTTCAAACAAAAAAAAAATCTGAGAAATCAAGCTTGATAAATATGTACGCAAGTTTGTATATCCTATGCCAATCAACGACTGGGAATCCATGACTTTGAATGGATGTGAAAAATACAATTAGGAGCAGGACGAAAGAGAACATGGGGAAGAGAATATGTGGAAAAGAGGGGAAAAGAAGTAGTAATTAAAAAGGAGAGTAAAAAAAAGGGAAAATAAGGTGCTCAGATATGACTGAAGATACAAACAGAAGGCAATGATGAGAGGAAGAGAAGCTGTGCTTAAGTTTTCAGCCAGCAGTATTAGTAGACACTTGCATTGTAGCTAGAAATTATAAAATGGACCATGAACCTCAGTAGATGGATCCAAGAGCAGAGAAAAAGTATACTAACACCAAAAATATATATTTAAAATTGATTATGTGGACTGTGTAATGAGACTTAATGGTTTCCTAAACCAGTACTGTGGTACCACAGCAAGGTACTTATGATAGAGCTCTAGGAAGGATCCATTAAGTTTTGTTTGCCACTCTACGCAAACCCTAGGGTTATTAAATTCATACGCTGCCTCAATTGTATCATATGGGCTATGCCAATCTGGCTGTGGTCAGGCAGCAGAAAACTACCTTACTGAAGAAGATTCTTTGCTGGCTTCATGGAGCAGTGTTAGGGGAAATAAGAGGGTTTGCTGTAACATGTATGCTTTGTACCACAAATTGGACCATGGGCCACTCCAGACTGGAGCACAGGCTGTCATTAATGTTCAGTGAGATGTCCACTGTGATTCGAGACCCTTCCGTCTACTGAGCAGAGCTGAAACAAACTCAGGGTGGAGTCCTTCACATTTAATGTGTCTCCTGGACTACCTGGCACCTTACATATGTAATAATCATATTTCATTTTTGGTATCCTTTTGCATTTTACAAAGGATTATCATGATGTATGAAAAAAGTCTGTAAAAAAAACTTCTCCAAGAATTTCTCGAAGGGGGATATCTCCCTTGTTGCTTCATAGACAGGATAAAAGACCCATATTCCTGACTGGCAGGTTCTTTTCAGCTGCCAGGGCCATTGACAAGCTTTGTGTCAAACTCTGCTACCTCTGACACCAGATGGCTGGACATAGTCTTCTTTGGCAATGCTGCCCACCACAGCTATGAAATTGCCCCTATTACTTAATGGTTTAGCACCTTGACAATTGTTGCATGAAACATATACAGCTACAAAGCTCAAATCTGGTTTGGTTTGGGGTTTTTTTTCCTTGTAGGGAATGAAGACATGTGAGCAAAAAAAACTTATATTGCATAAATCTGTAGGCCACTGTGTGAAACTCAATTCATAATGAATGTTTGGCATACAGTTCTCAAGTAAGTATGAATTTTCATATAGTAGAATTTACAAAGTTGGCATTTTACATCTACGGGTAATCAAATCTTTGTATTAAATTTGACCTGTGCTGGGCTTTGCATATTGGGTAGCTGTCACTGCAGTACTTCACATCTCTTCGTGTTCATTATATTGGCACATGATTACCTGAAGAATCATTCAAAGGCTTTGCGGGAGTTGTGTAGGTTATTGTTAACAGTGTATTAAATTTATAAACCTTAACTTAAAATTGATAGATGAAGTTGATGCTATTGATGTCAACAGGACTGGGAATTTGCTCAATACTAAATGTTAAATGTGGCAAATCAGAATTTGGAGAAATTGCTGCCTTAATCCCAGGCACCTTTAGCCCACTGTTTGTCATCCTAATGCCCTTCTGTTTGATATTTACTTCTTTGGACATTGCTACCTCACTCCTTTTGCAAATCCATGTTAGCATTGATGTCATAAAGTAAGCAGAATGAATGTGTGAAATTGCTTGTAAAATTATCAAATGAAATGAATAGCAAATATGATGACTTTTTTTTTAAGTTGAATAAGGAAACTGTCAGCAATGATGCAGTCTTGTAATGCTTACTAGAGCTGAACAGTATATATATAAGTCTGTGCAAAAGAGGCAGCTAGGCAGATCTCAGGATCCTCAAGGCTTTCCATAGTTCCAGAAGAGAGGGTAGGAGCTCTTTCTGCTACGTATCACTTCAAAGTATAGAAAGGTAAGATTTACATGAACTACCAGTACAATTTGTTTGAGAAAGCTGAGTGCATTTTCTGAATTGTATTGCCCAAACTTTGCAATAGAGGTGCAGGATCTTTCAGCATATTGATGTTTTCTTCTGTGGTTATAATCATTGATATTTGGAGTTAATGACATCATCATTTAAATATTTTAATCTATTGAATTAGTTCAACAGAGAATGATCCTAAGAAGGGAAATCAACTGTTTGGGTTGCAGAAGCAATTGAAAGAAGGAAGATTAACCATAAGAACATGAAAGACATGCATTGTTGTAAGAATTTAAATGTGAGATACATAATTATTGATTTTTATATTTTTATCTCCTTTAGTATCTCTTCTAGTGATATTTAATGAACATGAGTTTAAAAATATTCACTCCTTATAGCTACTGCCTAAATATGAATCAATGGGGATTAAATTAGCAGAATGCAAACAAATTAAGTGGTCTTATATACACACTGATTTAAAACTGTTCAAGACAGATTGTTACTCCATCGCCCTACAGATTGCCACTCCACTGCCCTACTTTTAGATTAGTTTGTCTCAAACAGCTATTCTTTTCGTATCACTGTAAGATCTGAAAAGGAAATTTTAGCACAAGAGTAAAAATTAAAGTCTTTCAATAGTTATTGTGATTATTGTATAAAATTTAATTTAGTCTTCCATTCTACTATGGATTTCCTTAGACTAACACCGTTACATTTTATGGAACGTTCCACAAGGCATTATAACATGGTAGGTAAATTAGATGTAAAGTACATCTACCTGAAAAAGTAATTTATTTATAATTAGAAATAATTGCTATTTGCAAACATTTTCATGTCAACAGAAATCATTTTCATTCATATATTTTCACATGAAAATATTCCCTTTTTTACTGCTGTAACTTCATAATTGGTATTTTTAAACTGAAAATAGATAAAAATCTGATTTTTGAAATATTCTTTTTTGAAAACTCCATGAAATTAAGCTAGTTTAAATTGCACGTCATGTACAAAAGACATCTGCAGTAAAATATATTGTAAGAACCAGCAAAATCAGGTTGATCAAAGAAATAATATTCAAATAATTTTCTAACCGATTTGAGAGACATATTTGTTACATACTTTGTGGTGGTTCAAATTGAGATGTGTTAAGATTTTCATCTCAAATCAGAAGAAATTAAAACATTTCCATTAGTCTCATATACACAGGAACAAAATTTTCCCGTGTAAGATTAGCCCTAGTTTTCCTGCACCTTGACAATAAGATTGCATGGGTTTTAGCAGTATCTCCTGGTGACCTAAATAATTTAGAGCAAATAAAACCTTTCTTCTGATCGAGAAATTAATTGATTAGCAAGAATAAACTAAACAAATATTATCTTGCTGATCATCTCTTTTTCTCTACAAAACATGTTTGTGTTTCCAAGAATAAAATAACAATTTCTTCTTTAAAATCTGTAGCTGCTTTAGCTTGTTGAAAACTGCTATTGCCAGTTTGGGTTAACAATAGGAAGTACTAAACATTGAACAAACAAAATTGATTCTAAATTTTTAAAAGAACATATTTGACAGACATTTAATAGCTTTTGAAAATGCTTATTTTATTAGTAAGGATTCTCTTATTTGAAAATTGTATTAATTTTAAAAAACTGCATTTATACATCTTTCTTTTTAGCAATCTCCCCAGATTCTGATTCTGAAAAATTTAGAAAGAAGCGAAACATGCATTTAACTTTAAACATATTCTTAAGGCATAAAGTAGCCAGTGGGACTGTTCACATCTGAAAGCTCTATAGGACTGAGGAATGAGTTAGATCCAAGATATACTGAAATCACTGAAAGTCTGCTTACTGACTGCAGTGGGTTTTGAATATGGTTTTTTAATAAGTTTTATATAAAATAATAGCTTTTGGTGTCTGATATTACTATAAGGAGGCTGGATTAATGGCTAGACTATTTCTTTCATTCCATTTCAGTGACTTAGGTTTATATCTAATCTATATCATGGTTTAAGAAATCTAAAGGCAGCTCTAAACTAACTTTCTTTAATTTTTCACGTTAAGTAAAAGTATACTAAACTGCTAGTATACCATTAAGCAAGGCAAATTTACTTATGTACGGTACAATAGCCAGTGTCTAAGTTAACTCACTTACAGCCATATCAGCTAACATAGGGGTCACTACATTACAATCAAACCATTTTTGTGACCACAGCAGAGTCATGTCCCAAAGAATAGGCAGAGCTTTTGTTCCATTGTTGGAAGCCTATGAAATGTGAAATTATGCATTCTTTGGGATAAACATTGGATGTCAGTGTTGCACCACCAAATTACAGCTCCAAATGAAACAGTGAAAAGAGTTCAATACTATAGTTAGGGTTATAACAAGACTGACAACATGGCCACTACGGTATTTGTTGGTACTGTAGCAGGATATGTGCAAGTGTAGGAATCAAATCTCATTTATCAGGACATTACAGAAGGCAGAAAAGAGTCTCCATACACAGTGATGAAAAAATGAGTAACACTGGCAGTGGCTTCTGGTGGAAAGAGGGAAATTGATTCCATTGCTTAATAGTACAATCCACCAGAAAGTCTGATATTCATTAATTTATTTTCCTGGTTTTAATTAAGATTTGATTAAGATTTTTATTGCTTTAAATATTTTGATACTGACACTGAGGTACTCTAGTAAAATATTTATATTATTCATTAAGATTCTCTTAAAAATTAGGCCTCATGAAGTATCAGAAGCAATACATTCTCCCTAACCATAGGTAAAATACCTGCCCACAGTCAAGTTTGCATCTCCAACTATAAATTATTTTATAATAGATGTAAGAAACAGATTTCATAAAAAAATCTGCTCTGAAGCTGGGTAGACTACTGGGGCAGAGTAGAAATCCTACAGCAGCAGGGTTTTTGATGGAGGATTTTACTTTTTCAGACATGTTCATATACTGCCCCCCCATTTGCACTGCTCAGTGCAGAGCCAACTCTAAATCTCAAGACAGACTAATCGCACCTTCTCTACACATCATTCCTTCATAACTTTCTTATGGCTTCCTCCAGGCCATAGTATTTTTAAATTCATCCCATTGTGACAAGGCATTACAATAGAGAATAGATATGTTTTCACTCAGACTGTCTTATTTTCTAAATCATTGAATTTCCATAAATAACTCCTCCAGTAGAGCCGGAGGAGTTCAGTGCAGATTACATTTAGTGGGGAGGGTGTTTTTTGGCTGGGTCTTACTTTGTCACCTAGCACTTTACTTCAATGTACTCATTTTTCCTATCTCCCTTTGTTTTTCAGACTGTAACATAAACTTCCATAGGAGGGTGTAATGGATGGCAGAAGGGCTCTTTCAAATGCACAAATATCAAGTACAAGTACATGATGAAATTATTTCCAGGGACATTTTGCTGATGTGAACTCATTGCAACTTCTGTTGCTTTACAGCAGATTAATATTGTGATCCATACTGATTTTAAAGTTAGAACGAATGAGCATTTACTACTCATCATTCAATGAATGAGCATTTAGCCAATGAATGAATGGCATATTCAATTTCTTTGTCAAGGTCAAAAGTACCTAACCAAATTTTAAATTTACTTCCTTTTCTACACATTCATTCCATAAATTTAAGTGATCCAAAATAATTAAAAATAAACAATATATACTAGCTGATTTTGTAAGTAGATTTCCTCTCATTTCCTGTTTATGCAAAGTGCTTTTGAGTCTATTAGCCACTAGCTGCTCATAGTCCCTTTTGCACAGGGTTTTGTGAGCCTAAAACGAATGGCATTTCTTTGTTCAACAGAGTTTGTCCTATAGGGGATCATGTGTCAACAGACTAATACTACTACATTAAATAATGAAAATTGTAGCACACATAATTAGGGGATTAGAGAATGCCTTATTCCCATTCGTGACTATGCAGTAAAAGTTATAACTGTACTGCTTGCATGAGTACACCAGTCACTAATGCAAGTAAAGGAATCACAGTTTGGCTATGGATCACCAAAGCATTTGTACAGCCTGTAATACTCTAGTTTACATTGAATAGTCTCACGTTAAAGTCAGTGAGACTGGTCGAGTTATTACAGTGCACGTGATGAAGACATATATAATAATGTAGCCATTTCTATTACATGGTTGAAGCCAATAGAGTTACCTGTAACAGTAAGAATTACATGTAGGAGACAATATTTTCTGCTTTAGTTTATTACCATTAATATGAAGTATATACCCCATATCTTGTATATCCCCTATAGCCCCATAATGGAAGCCCTTAAGCTGAAATAAAGTATTATGTCAATAGTGCCACAAGCAAAAGTTGACATAGCCCATCATGAATTGAACACAAGCCAGTGTGTAGTTTGGTGGTTGTATTTTTCTAAGGAGTGACACCTATTAATCAGTTATTATAAGTCCAGAGGTGTACTGCTGTAATATCTGTTATTTCAAAAAAAAACTTTTAAAAGGAAGATGGAGGGCCAGAAGGAAAGAATGGGGAGCTGTGACAGTATTCTTGACAGAGATTTGCTTTGTTTTTTCTGTAGTGAACGAGCTGGAAAAAAATAAAAGTCACACCAATACCCTAGTTTTGCAAAAAACCATTATTATAGAAGCAGATCTAATGCTTGACATCAGCAGAACATAGAGCAAAGGAGATACAGACCTTTACCCTTGCATTACAAAAGTGAGACTGCAGTTGCTCTCCGCTCACCTTGCATTCTGGAATAGAGACTAGAGCCTAAAGACTAGAACAGACACTACATCTTTTGAATGCCTACACAAGGCACTACAGTCTCCATCCACTGGATATGGACCCTGAGGATGGGGTCTCTGTATTATCAAGTTTAGATCAGCATTAAAGATGTCTCTGTTTGATGTAATTGATTCAGATGTATGTAGAGGTGATTACTTTTTCTTTGCTTCCTTATTTGTGTTTTGACAGGCAATGAAAATGAAAAGTGTTTATTTTGTTGCTGGGCTCCTTTTAATGATAGTTCAAGGCAGCTGGCAAAATCCTCTTCAGGATACAGAGGAGAAATCAAGGTAATTTCTTTAGATCAACCTTCTAGAAACATTTGGCCTGAACTTTGTTTCTTATACTTTGAAGTAAAACATACTATGACTTAAAGATATTTTTTTGTATACTATTACACAGTCCTTAATCTACCATTGGGATTGGCAAAAGTTTTTAGTATTGCAAAGGATAGCACAGAAGTTTTTGGTATTACAAACAATAGCTGCTTTAGTTAGCCAAGAAGACCTTGTAACTGTGCAGTATCCAGTCTGCTATGTTGATTCATTTTACTAGCCAGCTAGTGATCAATAATGCCACTTGCTTTTATTTTGTGAATGTATAAAATAGTATTTTTAAGAGAAAAGTCAACGCACCTGTAGAATGTACTATAAGCATTGCCTATTAACAAGTTCTAAACTTTTCACAGATCATTCAAAGCTTCCCAGTCTGAACCATTAGATGAATCTAGACAGCTGAATGAAGTGAAACGTCACTCACAAGGCACGTTCACCAGTGATTACAGCAAGTACTTGGACACTAGACGAGCTCAGGACTTTGTGCAATGGTTAATGAGCACTAAAAGAAATGGGTAAGCATTTTGGTCACATTGCTATAGATCTCCATTTTCAGAAACAGCAAAAAATCTAGCTGAATTTAGTTTCTTGGTTTCAGCTTCCCATCACAGGCCATGCATAATCCTCAAATAAGTAAAGTACTTAAGCAAAATTTATATATGATGTTAATATATTATTAGAAATGGGGAATATGTGTAAAATCAGTTAAAAGGATTTGGATAAATCAAGTGTATCAGTATATTACCTGATATGCCATCTAAAAAGACTATCTCAGCCTTTTGGGGACAGATCGTTTCAGTGAATGAATTAAGTTCAATAGGAATAAGATATGTAAATAGAATGTGAAGGTCTGGGCCATTGGGCCTTAATAAAACTTTCCTATCTATGGATACTCTAATCCTCAAGTTTCATTTGTGAAAAGGGAGAGAAGGTTTAAGTTTTGTTGACCACTGGATACTTTACTAGTATCATAAGTATACTGTTAAGGCATGAGTTGGCATATTTTTTTAATACATACTTTGATTAAACACAAGCTACCAAGCTGAGAGCAAGAATGATGTAAAAGCATGTAAGTCTATGTCCTGCGTTCTAGAGAAGATCTGTCCACAGAATGAAAAAATCTACGATATTAATGCTTTTAAATCCCTGTGGATGTCTTTAAAGTATAAAGTAATGATTTCTAGATACTGTATTCATTTAAATTCATAAGCCTGCAATTATTTGTAATATTCATCTCTCAGTTGTGGTTGTGTATCATAATATTTAAATAATAACCAATAAAATCTTATCAGCTTATGCATGCTCTTCAATGTACTCATAATAATGATCTAATGATTGTGGAATTCCACTACAGCCAACAAGGACAGGAGGACAAAGAAAATGACAAATTCCCAGACCAGCTCTCAAGGTATTCTAGTTGCTACAACTTGTTACTCAAAACCAGTTTGAGCTCATTTTCTGTTAAACAAGAAAGAAAATAACTAGTATACTTTACAATGTTACCATAATCCAAGAAATACATACCAAAAGAATTTATTTTGCACCTGCTTTTTACAAGGAAAGAGGAAATGTCTTTATGTTACTTATTCCTGTACCTGTGTTCTACAGCTATGTGCAGTGGCTTCAAGGAATGCAACAGGATGAGAATAGATTTTAGGAAAGGACATTTCAAGTAATAAAGGAGAGTAGAGAATAAGATAAAAAGAAAACTTGGTATAGAAAAAGGCAGAAGCAAAAAAAACCCCACCTCATTATGTTGAGGAAAAGAAAACCAGTGAGAAGACTAACGAAAGGAAAAATGGCCAGGCACCAATTTGCAGAGAGCTGATAGAACATGATACAATGCTCAGACGTAAGCACTCAGTCCCATGTTACATAAACCACTCCCTCATTACAGGAAAGGAGAACACAAGACCTGCTGGAGGCCAGAATTTTGTTTCTTGACAACATTTTTGGGAGAGGGTTGGGGGGATTGGAAATTTGAAACAAATAAAACAAAAAAAAGTAAGTATTCTTGCAAAACAAATTGAAATATCTATATCAATTCTTCCTGTTGTCAGAAATTCCAAAGATAGCCTGGATCAGAAAGATCCTTCCATTCAAAACACTGTCAATATCAGTACCAAATTTGTAATAATGTTTCAGCTTCAATGAAACAGCATATCTCAACAAAATTAATGTTTCATTAAAAACGTTCCAAACAACTCTAGTTAGCATGCTGATGAAAAGTGCAGATGGTACTAAATTAGGAGGAATGGTGAAATCCCAGGAAGATAAAAAAATAATACAAAGACCTAGTGGCCCAGAAAATTGGGCAGAAACTAGCAAATTCTGAAACAGAAATGTTAGGGAAATTATTTGTGGAAATTATTCCATAATATGTCTACTTCTCAGTGCAGCTCACCTTCCTAAAGGCCAGTGTGACATAACTTTGCGCTATATCAGAGAAAGAAGCACAATGAGGTGCAGGGAAGGAGAAGGCAATTGTCTTTCTCTATTAAGCTGGAGGTGATCAGGCTTGAAATTGTTCCAAAATTATCACTTGGTCAGAATGATAATTAAAAGGGTGTTCAAAATGTAAATTCAAAAGGAATTAAGTCTGAATAGTTTGGCTAAGCAATAATGAAGATGAAGGCAGGAGGAGTGACCTAATGGAAATTAAAAGATACACAAGAGGTAACAAAAAGTCTGTCTGTATAATAAAATACAGTTTGTTGATCATGGCTAATTAATCTAGCAGAATACCGTTCCAATGCAGCTATAATTGCTTTCTGCACCTGATTTGATTTGTTCAGAACTAGTTCAGGTATCTCTGCACAAAACTCTATTGCATAGCACAGACAATGCCTTCCAAACTGAAAGATATCAAGAAAAAAAAAAAATATCAAGAGTAATTTGAGAAGCAAAATAAGCCCCTCTTCCTAACAAGAAATGCTAGTTGGATGGGTGGGAAATATAAACCAATAAAGGTTAAAAAAAATTAAATCATTATGCAGTCTGCTCCTATAGTATTGCTCTTCTTTCAGCAATGCGATATCCAAGCGTCATGCTGAATTCGAGAGACATGCTGAAGGCACCTATACCAGCGATATCACCTCTTATTTGGAAGGTCAAGCTGCCAAAGAGTTCATTGCTTGGTTAGTGAATGGACGAGGAAGAAGAGAGTAAGAACCCATCCATTCCTATTATTAAATTTTGCCTTGCTTTTGGGGTTAGAAATCAAGTCTGATGAAACCTTGGTGTGGTTTTGATCATTCTTTCTGTACTTCACGTTTTTCTTTTGCAATAGAAGATATTCTGTGGGTGTTAGACTACCACTTTACATTATTAAGTTCACATACAGATTACAACAAACCTGTTCAGTATGCTGTTACACTCTAAAAGGTCAAGTCATATTTAAGGTCAACATATCTAAAATTAAACCAGACCTTCCTCTAACTATCACCTTTCCCCCTTCACATGCAATGCTTACAGTCTCCTTGATTATCATTGACATGATTCAAGTCAGTGTCATCTTAAATTACTTTCTCTTTTTTCCCTTTCACAGTCAATCTTTTCCTTTGCAATATTAAATTTTTACCAATGTCATCAGCTGTACTCCATGCACTGGTGATCATTCCCAGCAGTAACTGATCACTTCTTTTCCTCTTTCCATGCTCCACAAAGTCTCCCCAAGTTGCTGCTGACAAAATAGTTATCATTTCCTACAACTATGACTTGTTTTCCTTTTTGAGACACCTCTACTTCTTTTGCTATGGTTCACGGTTTCCTGGACGCAGTGCTCCACAGTTTTGACCTACCTATGTCTCTGATTCCTTTCATTAATACCTTGTTCTCCACATACTCATTGCAGATTTCTCAAGCTTATTCACTTCATGTACTCACTTATGTTTTTACATCTTTTTTCATGATAGTCTTACACTTAGAATGGCATTACCTTCAATCTCCTGCAGGCAACCTTCTATCTCATCTATTTCCAACTCTGCATGGTTAGGAGCTACACCATGCACATGCTATTCCTCACCTTTTAACTGTTCTGTACTTATTTGTACCTTTAGACTGTAAGCTCTTTGGGGCAGGGATTTCAGTTCATCCTCTGATTATATATTCTACCAGCTGTAAAGTACTATGTAAGTCTCCTGCACTATATAAAAATAATAAATAATAATAATAATAAAATATAATCCATAAGACAAGATTGTGTGTTGTAGTCAAGGAAGACTAAATAGGTAAAAGTAAATTTTGTAAATAATGACAATATTTCCTGAAAAAACAGAGTTAAATAAATGAGGCCAGCTATATAGAGAAGGGAAAGGCTGGTGCCACTTCATAGTGATGTTCAGATTTGCAGTTGTTTTTCTGCCATGTTGTACTGTCGTGAGCAGAACTAGGGTATTTCAGTATCTATAAGAGAGAAATGCAACCTAGCTGTGATGAATGGAGCTAGGTTCATCTAAGCAACCTAGATGGACAATTAAATGTAGACCACCCTTCTACTTTCCAATATTTAGTAATATTTGCGGTCAAACTTGTATATAGCCTTTCCTGAAATTATTGCATGAAAAAAGCCAGTCTGCCTGTCATTGGTCCCAGAGCACAGTGTGCTTCAGCATCAGCCCACCTTAATGAAACCCATTAAAATCTTCCTATATTTGATGGGATGAAACAAGAGAGGAAAGATTTCTAAATCAGGCTCTTGGCATAATGGTTTTCCAGCATTCAAAAAAGGATAGAGCAAGAATCAGGACCCAATTCCAAACATAAAATGCTATTGAACAGCAAACACACACATAGATTTTATACAGGTGTTGTAATTGAGTTATTTTAACCCCCCCAAAAAAAGTTGCCGCTCTTAATACCTAAATACTTATGCAATATAATTGTGAGAATATAACTAGGACTTAAGTCCAATTAGAACAGAAAAAAAAGTACGAAAATTTGACTATAATGTTTTAGTAGTGATATTTCTTAAATAATGATTCTTAGTAAATCTCCTGTGAGTTCTACTGATGCTTTGTCTACTTGGCATAGACATTGCAGACCAAGATATGTTTTTGCATGTATAGCTTTTTCAGAAATGCTAGAGAGGAATTTAGGCTCACCTGAAGGAACGGTTCTCATCTGATAAAGGGAGATTTCCATGTTTTATTCTGTTGTGAAAATAATGACTCAAAAGATGTTCTGTTATACATCATGCTATACTGAGCCATAGCATCAGGCTCAACCCTTAATTCCTTAAAATCACAGGAAATCTGCAGTGTATTAGAATCCTGTAATGAGGCCCTTTTAAATGGTTTGTTTATTTTGATCTGCAAATTGTTTGATAATTTCTTCCCTTTGAAGTTTCCCAGAAAAAGCTCTTGTGGCCGAAGAAATGGACCGAAGACATGCAGATGGCACTTTCACAAGTGATATCAACAAAGTCCTGGATGACATGGCTGCCAAAGAATTCCTAAAATGGCTGATTAACACAAAAGTTACCCAAAGGTGCCTGAATTTTTATTGCGTTATTCTTAACATACTGGGGTTTTAAATGCATTTGTTACACATAGGGAAAATACTGCTAATTCTTCTCTTAACTATTGACATATCTGTAACTGTGTTGTTACAAACTTTATTACAGACAGTGCTGAACAAGGATAAAACACTACACAGAACTCATTCCAAATGCAATTTGTATTTTCATCAGTGGTGAACCTATTTAACAGTTTCCTATTTAACCTGAGGGGAGTTTTCCCACTGAATGTTACCAGAAGTAAGGTCATATTACATTATTGAAAAATAACGCTCTCCTTTGCATGGGCATTATAAAATCAGAAATATTTATTGGTAAAATCACACCAAACTGATTATTCTTTAAAGTCTGTGATATAAAATGCTGCCTTAAATTGTGGTTTGTCATTAAGGAATAGGGTACTGTAGTCTGAGTTCCTGAGAGCTAACTATTTATGAACCCTGCTTTAGTTTGCCTGTATATAGGCAAATGCTGTTGACAAAGCAACATTTTCTGTCTGAGCTCTGTGAACGGGTTAATATTTAAGAAATATTTGTTAACATTAACAAAGCATTTCAAAAATAATAAAATGCCAACTCAAGGCACATGTGAGTGGCCAGACTTTTTAAAATGTTGGACGTCCACTCTGTAAAAATAAATTGCTTTTAGTCTTTGGACTACTGAAGCACCCAAAACGACTAATTGATCATGGAAATCTGAAATTAGCAATACTGCCTCAAAAATTTAGAAGCTATAGTTCAAATACAGTTTTTATTAACATTTTAATATTTTTCTGTTTGTTTGTTTCCAGTTCAGCATTGAAACACACAATTTAGGAAAATAGTCTATTAGAAACTATGAAAAAGCTTTTCTTTTAGAAATAATTGTTTTCAGTCTGTTATTAGAGACATTGAGAGGTCTGTGGAACTAACATCTGCTAACTCTTAAACAGAAAAAATATGTTCCACGTATATTTCATAAATCTTGGGAGATTTATAATGTGTCCTAATTGCTGCACTTTTTTTCCTCTTTTTTTCTTTTTTTTCCCTTTTTTTCTTTTTTTCTTTTTTTTTCTCCTTTTTTTTCCCTTTTTTTTTTTTTGTCCTTTTTTTTTTTTTTTTTTTCCCCCAGGGACCTTTTGGAAGAATATCAGTAAAAATGCAGAATAAAAATGGGATAAATGAAGATCTTCATTGCATCAACTGCCAGTTATTAGAAGATTCTGAAATCTGTATTCTGTCATTTACATTGGGTGTAACAAAGCTCTGTCACCTTGCATGCCAGGAAATAATTGTAATACAGTTTAGTGTTGCCAAAGGTTTATATATGGAAAACCTATTGTCTAAGGGATAATCTTAACAGCTTTAAGACTATGAAAGTTCCATATCTTCATATTTTCCATTTATTTGGACTGAAGTAACTCCATTTATATTTAATGATAAAATTATTTTTCTAAAATGTTGACTTCTACACACAAAGAATTCAATCACCAGTTATACATGTTATTTGTAAGGGGCTGGCAGTTACAAATGCCTGAGAAGTGAATATCCCTCTTAAAACCTTTGTTATAAAAAGGCTAAGCTTTAAGGATATTAAATGATAGCCTTAAATAAATTTTTTCAAGCTTCTTTTCTGTTGACTTTTCATGTGTATATCCCTTGTGCTTCTTTGCACTCCATGTCATTTTATTCTAATATTTTAGTGTCATTGAGATCTTGGAAGTGGTTTGTTTGGAATGATAAAACAAACTCAACATTTTGTTTTGTCACATTTTCTCCATAATGATTCTCAGAAAAGAACTGTGTGAACTTTGAATTATCTTTAGTTGAGAAAGAAATCACGTAAGATGAAGCTAGAGGGGGAAACAAGACTGAAGAGACAAGGATTCTTCATTAGCATAAGTTCTGGTTTGTCAGCAAAAGCAGGAGGACAGCTTTGAAAAATATTAAGTGCAATATACTCGATTAGTAGTGGAAACTGCCACATAATTTCTTCAAATTTTATAAGATTGCTAAGTAAAGCCAACTCAAACAGCCCTTGGGTCACTCTAATCTGTGTAGTATTCTTTTCCTGCTTCTTCCTCTGAGAACCGCTTTGTCCGTTATCTCTTGCATTTAGCAACAGTGTACTGTAACCTACAACTGTCATTTCAGTAATCTGTGCCTTCTCCATTATGGTGACAGAACATTTTGCTTGCAGATCTCAGCGTTTCTAGCAACCCAAGCTATTATACTCTCAGCTGGCCATGGCACATTTTTGTAGGTATGGCAGTAGCTGCAACTCTCAAATAGCCACAGTTGCTGTTATGCACCTCTTTCTTCTGATGGCTCCTCAAACCCCCTTTTCTCCCTTTGCTATAATAGCAACATGCCAGGTATTGATATTAAAATGTCCTGAAGGGCAAGTGGTTTAAGAGAAAGCCAATGAACTTAGCAAGTATCTAGTAAAAGTTAATATGAAGCAGGAGTGTTGCTGAATTAGAATTAGCACCTATAACTTTTGCTAGGAATAACTAGTACTGGTTTGTGTCTCATTTGGTTTTTAAAGGCACCTGAAATTTTCACTGACAGTCTAGAATTTCTGGAAAAGTAAGATTAGGTTGTCCTCCCAAAGTCCTACAGGAACCCATATTCTGTACTTTCAGATCAAAACTGATCATACCCAACTTGGCTTCTAACATCCCAACTTTAAACAATTAAAACTCAATAGAACCTTGCACTAAAAAACCCCATCATGGCATCCAAAACACCACTGGAGATTAAAAAAAAGGGGGGGGAAATGAATGTATATTGGTGTTTATTTAATCCCATTTGTACACAGTGGTTTGGCTCCAAGTGTTTCTGGAAAAAGATTCAGTTATACACAGTTGGATCCATATAGTTGAGGCTGGAATGGTATAACTCCTCTATTTCCATAGATTGAGCAATTGTCTTTAAAGTGTTTTATTCCACTATGGCCAGGATATTTAGTGTTCTGAAGGACAGGATTCCTGAGTTACAAATTCATTTTCCTGTGGTGTCTGTCACCCCTGTATTTGAGCACCTCCTGATGATGGCTTTGTCAGCTATGAAAATACTGGTTTCCTACATTTTTACAAATTATATGATTTTAGGAACAGAGGGGTACAAATTATTTTCTCAAAGTTATGCAGCTTGTCTGGAACACAGCACAAATATTTAACCTCTAATTTTCTCAAGTCTCAATCTAGAGCATGAATCAAAAGACACCCTTTCTTCAGAAGTGAGATGAAGTTGAGCATGTTCCAGAAGTTTCAAACACAGGTTTTAGCTCAACAGGACTAGGACTTACATATCCTGAAATCACAGAGCAGGCCCATATGGGATCAAAAACAAGGTATGTGCTGGGTATTTCTTATACATGCTAGATGAAATTCAGTGAATGGTACCCACACAGGGAGAAATAAGTAGCGGTCACTTCTTTAAAAAGTGTCTTTAGTAGACAATAGCTACCTATGTCTGCAGGCTGAGAGAGGGCAGAATAGCTGCAGCATTCAAGCCTAGAGAGAACTGCTATTTTATGTTTTAATCTTAATTTTGTACTCTAGTAAGGGAGAGAGGTAAATCATGCTGTGAGTGGTACGTTGGTAGAGAAATTCAGGAACAGAGTGGCCTGAATATTCCTTTTAGATCATAGATGGTTTTCAAAGTCTTCAGGCAATGGAGCAACAGCTGATCATATTGCCTGTGGTGCTGCTGCTTGTATGAGGGGGCTTCAATTTGCTCTTGGCAAATAAAGGAAGGGAAGTAGGACTCCTTAAGAAAATCATGCTCAGGAGCATGTTCCAGCATTACCTACAGGGCTACACCCTCATCCACTCTCAGAACCATTAATTTCCCTTCCAGTCAAGGACCCAAACTGTGTATAGCTTATTAAAATCACATGCCCTGACACGTATGAGGAGTCTTGACTGGCATGCTATCAAAGATGGCACTGTTGCAAGGCCCCTCTGCACCTGATGGGAGTTTTAAGTCTACAAAAGAGTTAGGGTATGGGTCCCATCCTATTTGAAATATATTGTAAATGTTTTATATATGCAGTTTATAGTGCATAAACTTAATTATTTTTTTGTTTTCGTTCACTCCAAGCTGACTTCTTCACTCTACAAGAAAATTGAACCTTATACCTTAAGTTGTATGAAAACATTAGCACTGGCCCAGATGTTTTGAATGTATTGTGTATGTGCACCTTCACCAATTCTATATTCCATGAACTCATGTGTGTATCTAGAGTCCTCTGTGTCTCTGCACAAGTGCTGCCTAAAACTTCCAGGTGGCCTTATATTAAAAAGTTTTCCCAATATTACCTCCTTTATTAACTGTATTTCAAATGCTGAGTGTGCAGCATCCTTCCTCTTCCACCCTATTTACTAAGTGTCTGGAAAAATAAGCATATTGAAGCAAAACAAGGCAACTAGTTGGAATTAATACAATAAAAATGAACAGAAACCTGAGACACTCTAACCATTCAACTGTGCTCTGAGGACATGTGGCAAGAATCTTCAGTTGCCAGGGAATTAATTTTATAAAGAATAATACATAAAGTTGAAAGAACTGAATGACAGCTGCTACTAGCCACATTGAAATGGTTGTCCTAATGACATAACCACAGAAAAAAGGTTTTTTTCACATTTGCTTTCCTGATTTACAGTGAACAGTCTTTTCACAATCCTCTCAAACAGAACCAACATAATGACGAATTACAAAATAGCCCTTATGCCATTTCAGCCTCAAAATGCAAAGAAACAAAAAGAAATAGTTTCTGAAAAAAAGACATTTTTTATATATTTGGTATCAAAAGACACACTTAGTCAAGTAGAACTTGAACACTCCTCAGTGCTAATAGCACTTTTGCCTTCTCTTCCTCACAGCACATTTGAAGTCAGCCACTGAATCAGTATAAAACTTGCTCCAGCACATATTTTGCCTCCCATAGCCACACATTGAGACATCTGGAACACGTTATTGCACCTGTAAAGTAGACTATATACATTTTAGTCAAAAACAATAATTTTTTTTTTTTTTGTTCTGCAGAGAGCTTATGTTTTCCATTTTTCCTGTTTGACTTCTCCAAATATTTCTGGAGGAAAGACTCAAATATATAAACAGACTTATAACAGTCTTGAGTTTCACTGAGGCTAGAAGTCTGAAGGAGACATCACATCTGGCAGGTCCATCAAGTGTTTGGGAAAGCCAACCTTCAGATTACTTTCCAGTAAGTAATTCTTCTTAATCATATAACTTCTTTATGAGTACTTTTGTGGCACATAATATGACGAACAGCTACGACTTCTCCAATTATATTGTGCAGCAGCCACTGCTGGTTATTAATTTCTTTAATCTCTTGGCATCATATTAATACATATCTGATTGCAAAAGAACGCCTTAGTATAAAGTAATTTGAAATATTTAGCTGGAGCAACTCTTTAAGTCTCAGGCTATCACAAAAGACAATCTGACAGAACACCAGAAGCACAACCATTACAATCATTTTTGGGACCAGGGGTATTTTGATCAGACAGGAAGGACCTTGAGATTTCATCACGGTGTAGAGAATCACTGCTAGGAAGTATTGCAACTAAATGGATAACATATTCTGCTATATTAACTCTTACTGGATCAGTCAGGTGGTTCTGAGTACAGAATCAAGTCCCATAAGCCTCTCTGGCATGACCAGGCAGAAGCACTGTAGATTATCAGACATTCCCAAAGGTACTTGAAATTGTGTACCCACTGAAACTAGCAGACGCTAGGCATATGCTTTGTCAGTGTAGCTCTTTTTTTCTTAGAATTAACCACTGAGAAGCATTAAAACTTTGCAGATAATCTGACAAGACATTATTAAACTGCAATTTGGCTATGAAAAGCTTGGTAACATTCAGGTACATTTTATCACAAGACTGAGATGATAATTTGACTGTACTATACTTTGAGGCACAGTAATGATCACTACTTAAATGTTTAGAAAACCAAGCACAGATTGGCTGAACTATATATATATGTTGTGATTCCTACTCACTGGTAAAAGGAAAATTCACCCCTGGGGTGGGTTTTTTTTTCTTTTTTTTATTGTTGTTGGTAAGATGAGTGAGTGCACAGTATACCAGACATATTGAAGTGGAGCTGTAAGCCATTCTGAAATTCTGGTCACACATCTCACAGCATATACAGGATACTAGTTTGAAAAGCAATGTAAAAGACTGACATTTCACCGAGATTTTACTTTATAAAGGTGGACTTACCTATACATAGAAATTAGTGTTAAGCAAGTTGTGAATTTGCAGCATGTTAGATCCTCCACTGTAAACTTAGACCAAGCTGCAAGAACACTATCAGGGCACATGAATAGTATTCCTAAGGTGAACCAATATAGCTAGCACGGTGTAAATTCATAACTAGTAGTAGCCACTACCTTCAAGGAGAATGGTATGCAACAGTGAGCAGAGCATAAGTTTATATCTAGATGCAGTCTATTGCCTTCCATACAGACAAACCCTTAGTGTTTGTAAATATTTTGGGTAACTCTAAAGCAGATATAGCTGTCATAAAAAGTTACTAACCTACTTCCAGTTACAGATTACTTAAGAAACAGCATCAAAATACTAAATGCT